TATAATAAGAAGTTTTATCAAAATACAACGAAAGTGGAAACAACATGCAGTTAAGAAACATTTTTCTCACAATTAGGTCAATGTTTTATTAATCATACAAAAATTACTTTATCAAAAACATTTTTTAATATTTATATTTATAATATAAATATTTATATACTATAAATATTTATATTATAAATATAATTACGATTACAGATAAATAAAATAAATATTTATAGAATATAAATATTTATTTTATTTATGTAATCGTAATTTTTCATTTTTATATGTTATTCGAATCAATCGTATTGTCACAGACTACCGTTCGTATAGTCTAGACTGACAAAATTTTTATCTGTAGTAGTTAAAGTAATTATTACATTTTTTTGACGTTACATTTAGAAACTCTTTTCAGTTTTCATAGCATTTTAGAAAACTCGAGCGGTATTCAATTATCGCTAAGTTACAGTTTATCTCGTAACAGTAGTTTAATTAACAAAATCAAAGAAAGTTGCTATTCTCCTAAATCTATTATACTGTTCTTCAGCTTAAGCCAAAGGACAGATTTACATAAGCGTCTAATTGTAAGTTAAAATTACTTTTTCTCCGTTCACATTGTAAAACATCCAGAATCAAACTTCGCAATTCATTAAAGTGCTCCAAGTCATATTGAAAATTATCATATTATAATGCAAATCGATATTAAGATATTCACTGTTTTTTTACAGTAAAGTTTTGCTTCGAAAGATTAGGTCACAATTAAAAAATCTTTACGTATATATCCTATCCAATATCATTTATACATTTTCAATCAGTTCATTGATTACATCTTAATGTTTTATCGATTTTGAAACTTATCTGAGCACGATTGACAACAATTTTGAAACTTATCAATGTTGAGTTGCTATCGAAAATTATCAAGGAAAAGAAACAAATATTTGTAACATTATACTCTCGATAATGAAGAATTTCTTTGTCGTTTCGTTGATTTCCATTGTCAGCTACAGTACATCATCAATAAAACGATATGTATTAAATGAAATGTATCAATTACTATCAAAGTGCTACAGAAATATGCACGTAATTTTCGTTCTTTTCTACTGCATCATGCATGACACGTGAAAACTTTTCCATGAGAATAGATTATTCTTTTATGTTTCGAATATATTTCCAAATATGCATTTAATCTAATTAAATGGCAGATATATTATTCAAAGATATATACTTCGCAATATACATATAAATTAGCAAATTATGAAATATGCATAATATTTTATAACAATAATTAACACAATGTAATAACATTAACTAATTTTCCTTACTAATCCTGACCAATTAATTTCAAATATACGTACGACATCAATTTTTATATGTTAAATTTTTGTGTGAAGTTTCAACGTATAACAGTATATTTTTGTGCTCAATTACACCATGCGATTATTTGTTCGAAACATTTTCCTTTTTAATCAACTTTACGTTATTAAATAACTAAAAAAAAGAAGATAGAGTTTAATTCAAATTTTATTACAAATCAATTTCTCTCTTTTTACCCCTGGTATGTTCCATTAATAACTTCAGTTGTAATAGAACTATGCGTATTTTTTCTTGGTATTATATTCAACCAGAAACCTCCTTCGGATTTCATAAAAAAACTCCCCTTTTCGATCGTGAGTGGTATTGGCGTCTTCTCGGAGGGTTTCAAATCGCAACGTGCTAGCAAGTGAAAAAACAGAACCTTCGTTTCCAGCAACGCGAATCTGTTAGCTATACACATTCTGGGGCCAAGACCGAAAGGAAGGTAGGCTCCACAGTTAAGGTTGTCTTTCTTCCGCTCGCCAAGAAACCGCTCGGGATCAAATGTCTCCGGCTCTTCGAAATATTTTGGATCATGCTGCAGTCCATAAACCGGTATCCATACGCCTTGTCCTTTTTTGATCGTAAAAGGTTTCATCCCTGGTAGTGCCGGAGGCAGCTCAAAGTCTTTCAAGCACAATCTGTCCAACACGACACCAACCGGATACATTCTCAAAGCCTCGTTGATTACAGCATCCAAATATTCCATGCCATTAACCGCTTCATAAGATGCTTGTCCATTCGTATCTTCCAAGACCTGGTCAATCTCCTTTTGAAGTTTCTCTTGTATATCTTGGTTTACCGCGATTTCGTGAGCGGCAAAACACATTAACGTAGCAGTGCTCTCGAAGCCCCCAAAGAAGAAAATAAACGCCTGTGCCACCATGTCGTCGATAGTTAATTCGATCTTGCCCTCTTTACTCCTCATTTCCATCATCAATTGCAGCATATCAGGACGGACGATACCATTCTCCTCTCTGGTTTTTATGGTGGTTTTTACGAGATCTCGGAAAAAATTTGCTACTTCCTCGGGAATAATTGTCAATCTTAATATTCGTGCTAGCCAAGGAAAGGCTTTAAGTACAGATAACTTCAAAAGAATGAAACCGGTAAAGTTGGTCGCTTTCTTGCCGTATACATAAAAATCGTTTTTAGGATTTCTCATAGAATCTACGCTAAGACCAAAAGCGCAAGTAGCGATTACATCGTTTGTATACCTCGTGAAGATGTCTTTTGAGTCCACTGTCCTCTTCTTCGACGGCAATTGCGCCAAATAACTGCTAAAGTCGACACCGCAGTCCGACATCAGCTTAAACATACTTTTCATTTTGCTGGATGTGAAAGCTGGACTCAACATAGATCGTATCCCGTGCCACCTATCTCCGCGAAGAACGCTCAGGTTTTTGCCGAAAAATGGATCTTGATTTTCATCGACGAAGCTAATGTGGTCCTTAAACGCGTCAAAATGTCTTAATGTCACAAGCTTAATGAGCTGAGGATCGCGAAGCATTACGATTGGATTTTTCACATCGTATACGCCGACGTACTTGGCGTCAGGATTTAAATTGTACATCGATTTAACAAAGCCGGCCAGTGATTCGCGACGGAAGATCGTCGATCCCATATTTCCCACTATGGGAAAAGGCTTCACATGCGGTACTCCATGTTTCTTGAAGTAATTTAAGTGTCTGAAGAAAAAATAATAGAGGCCCAAGGTGCCTACTATCGCCGACAAAACGATTACGTCTATCATATTGATCGTGTTAACACCACTGAACTCAAAGTAGAAATACGCACTTTATCGGACACATCTATTATTCAAATATTATACCGTTGTTAAAATGCTCGACATTACGCATCGGAGAATGACAGTCAATTGCTATCCTACACGAACGTTATTTCTCTTATATACGATGATATCATGTGGGTTCCCCCACGCCTAGTGCGTATAACGATAGAATCTGGCATGCAACTTTAATTGCTATATCGTGCAGTAATGAGATAATCTTGATGAAATATTACAAAGTGATGAAATAATCAAACGCATAAATGCATTCAGATTTACTGTTTCTCTTTAGCTGATCGTATAGTGGTACAAGGATTTTCTTTAAAGAAATAATTATGTAACTTCATGGAATTGTATTCTTTCTCCTCTCCACGAAATCAGCGGCCTGTATCTTAAGGTTATTTAAACAGGACTCGGAAATCTTCAAGTTGACGCGGTCGTGAACGCGGCAATGTAAAATTTATCATAATTTTGACGAGATTTAATTTGACATTATAAGCAAAATAGTTCTGCATGCTAATATTATATAATGTACATTTTTGTGTTATCTAGATTCGTTGGTTACTCGTGGTAAACAATACTTAACGATACAGTAATTTTATCTACATAATATCTCAATACGTATTTTCTCAAAATATATTTTCTATGTTAGAAATATGAAAATATTTTTCGAAGAATTCAATAACATACAATAGAAATAGACGATTGTAATAATAATAACCGTTGCTGTTATAATTTCATTTTCATGCGCAATATATTACTTGAGAAAAATTTATATTAGAATGTAAAAATTGATCGATGATCACGACACAAGATGATAAGCTGCACTCGATCTTTATCCTCCTATTCATTATCTTCTTTCATTATCTTCTCAGTAAAAGATAATAACAATTTTTTTTATCACTCGAGAAATATTATTCTTGATGCGAAAATGTAGCGATTTGGATTAAAACGAAGAAACGGAGCACACAAAGAAACCGGGTTTAAAGAGAATAATAATTAGATAAAAAGATTTATAATATAAAATTAGCACATTTAATTACCATGGCAAACTATGAAGCTAAATATCAGAGTTACACACACAAGCGTACACATATTATGTCGATCTTCCCTCTATTCTTTTTACGTTGTTAACTAATAATACTTGTGCATATTTCACGTGTTTCTTGCGATCGTTGTAGCACTGCATATATCAGACCGTGAGTATTAATGACTCAGCGATTTTACTTCACTTAACCTTGTGCATCCGTATCAACATCTGTTTATCAGAAAATCAAGAATAACAATCCTTATATCATCATTTTGATTTTGTTCCTTTTGTTTCACCTGAAATTCAAAGAAAATTTAAATATATGTCCTATTTGTCTTAGTGTACTTCGTAAACAGATTTTGTCATTTTATCGCAGTAAAATTATTAACATTAAAACATTAAACTTTCAATTTCACAAAATTACGCAATATATTTTGTAATTTGGCTAATTAGAAGTAACTCTATTATAAATCCTTTTTTTATTAGTATAATATTCCTATTTAACGAAATAATAGAAAATTTCCTGATATTTTTTTTCTACATTTCATTAATTCAATTAAATTTTAACACTACAGTGAAATTAACTAAATGTCCTTACAGTTTACATATTTCATCTACAACTTTAGCTGTGATAATGTGATGCGTATTTTTCCTTAACATCACATCCAGCCAGAAACCATTTTCAGGTTTCAAAGTAAAACTGTCTTTGGCCATTTTTTATCGGTGTCGGTGTCTTTGCACAAGGTCTCAATTCGCAACGTGCTAGCAAATAAAAAAGCATAACTTTCGTCTCCAGCAACGCGAATCTGTTACCTATGCACATTCTGGGACCAAGGCCGAAAGGAAGGTACACTGACAAAAAATGTTTTTAAACTAAGTAAATAGATAAAGTTATTTTTTTACTGAAGTAAATATTTATTCTATTTAAATAAAATTTATATAAAATTTTTTTAAATTTAAAATTATCTATTCTTTGATATTTCATAAATACTTAAATTAAAGCAATGCATGTTTTAATTTGTTTATTATTCTTTAAATGTAAGTCAATAAGCTATTAGGAGCCACCCAATGAATAATTTTCTTGAGTGAAGTAATATTTTTTTGGATTAAGATATTTTTTATCAGTGTAGGCTCCGCAATTGAAATTGTATTTCTTCCGCTCGCCAAGAGACCGCTCGGGATTAAATTTCTCCGGTTCTTCGAAATATTTAGGATTATGATGAAGCCCATAAATCGATATCTATATAGCTTGTCCTTTCTTTATAGTAAAAGATTTTACATCAGATAGTGTCGATGGTAGCTCGAAATTTTTCCTGCAAAATCTATCTGACATTACACCACTTGGGTACATCCTGAGAGTCTCATTGATTACTGCATCCAGATATTTCATATTATTAAACGCTTCGTAAGCTGCTTATTATCTTCCACTTATCTTCTAAAACCTGGTCTATCTCGTTTTGTAATTTTTCTTAAATATCCTGATTCATCGCAATTTCGTAAGCGGCAAAACACATTAAAGTGGAACTGCTATCGAATCCTCCGAACAAGAAAATAAATACCTGCGCTACCATATCGTCGAGAGTCAATTCCGTCTTGCCATTTTTGTTCCTACTATCAATCATTAGTTGTAACATGTCTGGTCGAACAATATTTTTGTCAGTTCTAATCTTTATGGTGGTTTGTACGAGGTGTCGAAAAAATTTTGATATTTTTTTACGAATAATTTTCAATTTACTTATTCGTGCCAGCCAAGGCAAACTTCTGAATATGTAGGCCTTCAACAAGACAAGAGTGTTGAAAACAATCGCCTCCTCACCACACATATAGGAATTCGTTCTCCGGATTTCTCATAGAATCAACATTGACACCAAAAGCGCAAGTAGCGATAACGTCGTTTGTATATCTCGTGAAGACGCCTTTCATTTCCATTATCCTTTTCTCCGGTGGTAATTGCGCCAAGTAATTACCAAAGTCAACACTGCAATTTGATATCAGCTTATACATTCTTTTCATTTTACTCGACGTGAAAGCCGGACTGAATATCGGTCGCATCTCTCGCCATCTGTTCCCGCGTAGAACGATGAGATTTTTGCCCAAAAGCGGATCTTTGATTTTGATCGATAAAATTACGATGATCCACGTACATCCCGAGCTTATTAAATCCACAACATTAAAACATTTTAATCCACGAAGGCATCAAAATGTTTTAACGTTGTGGATTTAATAAGCTCGGAATCACGATCGTTATAAGTGGTTCGGTCATATCGTACAAGTCGACATACTTGGCGTCAATATGTAAATTGCCATGACAAATTCAGATGCAGATTGACTACGAATGATCATGGAGCCTAGATTGCCTACAATGGGAAGAGGCGTCACATGAGGAATTTCATGTTTCTTGAAGTAATTCAGATCCTTGAAGAGAAAATAATATACACCTAAGGTGCTTAGTATCGCTGGGGAGACAATTAGAAATATGATATCGATAACTTTTTTCTACACGATGCAATTAAACCCGCAAAGAAACGTAATGCGCAGTTTACATGATGAATCGTGTTCGAATATTTATGCAGCGTGATTAAAATGTTCGCGTACGATTGACGTTAACCGTCGGGCTATGATCAATTGCTATTTCCACGAATAACGTTCCTCCTATATCTACTGAATATATATCAATGTAGTATCATGTGGAGGGATCTGAGATATAGTACGACTTACGTTAGAATTATATAATACTTTATTTAAAATACCTTCCCTCGATAGAGCAGTCTCATGATGAAATAATATGTAAAATAATTCTAACGACTGGGGGTGTATTCTTTTTTCAAGTTTAATGGAAAAAATAATATTATTTTACATATATAGCACAACAATCTCTTTTTTTTCACCTTAATATATGATCTGTAACTAATACGTATGTAACAATTGCATTTTATTTAAAAGATATTGTTTACACACTCTTATATATTTTATACCGGAATAAGAATATAAATTGTAATTTTAAATCACTTTTTCATGTTATTGTGCAATATCTACGTAACAAACAAACACAAAGTGAGTTATAAAAATTAATAGCATTGAGATAAACATCTACAGATACATTATCGCGCGTCCGTAAGCACGCAAACTCTACGTCGTGATTAACTTTGGTCGCTTGTAACTTTGTACTTTTGATTACCTGCAATAAGGAGATTTTCTTAAAAGTGCATTGTAACTTCGAAACATTTCCAAGAATTTGTAAAAAGTAACGAAAATATGATATCTATCATCTTACAGTTAACAGACTGGTAAATTTTGATCGGTTTATTCTGAGATATTGACTAATATGTTGATTCAACTAATATACAACATTCAAAAAATGTATATTTTATGTATATAGACATTTTTTCATAGATACATAGGTTAAGAAATAGCGTCTTATATGTATAACAAATCATTATAAGTTTTTTCTTCATTATTTTTCTGTAGCATATATTTGTCTTTTTATGTACAATTAGATTTTCTTTTTAACCACAATTACGTAATCGCTTACTTATCTTTCTAGCCTCTTGTCTGTGCATGATACATTTTTGTATTAATGTAAAAGATTATGAAAGTATTTGTTATACACTAGTCAAAGAAGTGAAACAGAAAGATACAAGTAGTTGTTATGATAACAATAATTATACAATTAGTATATTGCAAGAAAAGGATTAAAAATTGATCGCTACGATAACATCGTAACGTGAGAATTAGTATTTAATCTTTCATTAATTCTCCACCTGCCCTCTTCTTTCTCCATTTCGTGACAAACTTACAAAACATGATACACCCATGCTTAATGCACCAAAAATATTTCTAATACAAGAATATCGCTAATTCTTGCATTTGCAGCAACGTTAGTAGCTTCTTGCTGGACTAAGAAATATCTTGTTTCGTATTCGTTTTTGTGCTATTGTTTCCATTTTCTCTGAAATTTAAATATTATATTATACACACATAGAATATGTCAAACATAATTAAATATAATGTATAAAATTTTTGCGCGATATTTTACTTTTGTAAATGATATTCCACATCTTATTACACCAGAAATCTTTAAATATTAAATTTTTTATTACGATTTTACATGATATATTTTGAAAAATTTTAACAATTTCACGAATCGAAAATTATGTTTCTTTAAATTAATATTATCTTGACACTATCCTGATTGTGGATTCAAAAATGTGTTATGGACTGAAAAAAGTAACAAATTTCATCTTTATATGTATATTGTCACGTCTCGTTTATTTTTAAATTGTCAAAAAGTCATAAAATATTATTAAAATTTTCTTACATTTAGTGCGTTCCATTAACAAGATTGGTTTCAAGAGTGCGATGTATATTTTTCCTTGGCTGCACCTTGAGCCAGAAACCACCTTCAGGCTTCATGTTGAAGCCGTCCTTGGCGATCTTGAGTGGTATTGGCGTCTTCTCGCAAATTTTCAAATCGCAACGGGCCAATAGATGAAAAAGTAGAACCTTTGTCTCCAGCAACGCGAATCTATTACCTATGCACATTCTGGGGCCAAGACCGAAAGGAAAGTAGGCTCCGCAGTTGAGACTGTCCTTCTTCCGTTCACCACGAAACCGTTCCGGATCAAACTTCTCTGGCTCCTCAAAGTAATTCGGATCATGCTGTAGTCCATAAACCGGTATCCATACGCCTTGTCCTTTTTTGATCGTAAAAGGTTTCATCCCTGGTAGTGCCGGAGGCAGCTCGAAATCTTGTTCGCATAATCTGTCCATTGCTACAGCAACCGGATACATTCTGAGAGCTTCGTTGATCACAGCATCTAAATATTCCATGCCATTAACCGCTTCGTAAGGTGCTTGTCCATTTGTATCTTCCAAGACCTGGTCAATCTCCTTTTGAAGTTTCTCTTGTATATCTTGGTTTACCGCGATTTCATGAGCGGCAAAACACATCAATGTTGAAGTACTGTCGAAGCCACCAAAGAAAAAGATAAATGCCTGCGCTACCATATCATCGACAGACAATTCTGCCTTACCCTCTTTACCCCTACTTTCCATCATCAATTGCAGCATATCAGGACGGACGATACCTTTCTCGTCCCTGATTTTTATTGTGTTTTGTACGAGGTTTCGGAAGAAATCTGCTATTTTCTGACGGATAAATTTCAATTTGATTAATCGTGCTAACGTAGGTAAGCTTCTAAATACGTATATCTTTATTAAGGCAATAATGTTGAAATTGGTCGCTTCTTTACCATATACATAGAATTCATTCTTTGGGTCTTTCATAGAATCAACACTAATGCCAAAAGCGCAAGTAGCAATCACGTCATTAGTATACCTCGTAAAGACATCTTTCACTTGAATTATCTTCTGATCTGAAGGAAGTTGCGCTAAATTATTAGCGAAATTGACGCCACAATCCGACATGAGCTTAAACATGTTTTTCATTTTACTGGATGTAAAGGCTGGGCTCAATAAAGATCGTACTTGCCGCCATTTCTCTCCGCGAAGAGAGAAAAGATTTTTGCCAAATAACGGATCTTGAGTTTCGTCCACGAAAGTGCGATGATCCCGGAACATTTCGAAGTGTTTTAACGTGATAGATTTAATAAGCTCGGGATCGCGGAGCATTACAAGTGGAACAGTCATGTCAAATATGCCAACATACTTTGCTTCAGGATTTAAGTTGTAAATTTCCTTCACAAGGTCGGCTACCGATTGAAGGCGCATAAACGATGATCCCATATTTCCCACTATAGGAAGAGGCGGCTTATGCGGTATACCATGTTTCTTGAAGTAATTCAAATCCTTAAAAAGGTAATAATACAGGCCTAGAGCACCTGCTATCACCGACAAAGCAATTACATATATCATACTGATATATCACCACTGGTCCGTTAAATTAGCATACACCTTATATTAATTTTGTGGAAACTGAAATCAATGTTTCCCTTTTTCGTAGTCAGTTTGTCTCTTGAAATATTTTATTTGTCGCACTGTTAATGATGCAAATGCTACCAAGACGCAACCGTACGCGTCGGAAGCTGACACTGGACTGCCGCTGCGCTGACGCAATCTTTCTGATATAGTATCCAGTTCGTCATCGCTTGCGCAACAATCTGAAAATTAACAGGTGTTTACGTCATATTAGTTGTAAGTGTTTTCATTGTCAGTGAAATGATAAATTTTTACTGGATGACCAAAGGATTTGACACGTTACTGTTCATTTTTCATTATACTTCCGTTATCTTTTATTTACATTTCATATGTAACGTAATTTATATCACTTAACAATCACTTTAGTACATAATTACAAAATTGCATTAGATTGTTTAATCCTGAAGAATGCCTTCGATTACATCAAGTGCCAACAACTCCCTACGTTCTAGCAACAGAATAGATAAAAGATTCTGCTATGATCAAAAGTGCTGATTCATTATAACTTTTCATTATAAATATTGAGAAAATACATGCGGAAATGAAATGCGGCTTTATTAAATTATTTTTTATTTTTTACATTAATACGCGTCATTAAGCATGCAAATTATACGTAATGCCAGTGGTTCACTCTAATCGCTTATAATCTGTTAAATAAATCTGTTTTTTAAATGCGTTGTAACTATTCCAAATAGTTTGTGAAAAATAATGAACATATGGATCATATATACTGCCTATTACAGCTAACAACCTGGTAAATTTTAACCAGTTTATTCCATTAATTGATATGGATGTTGTGATGTTGATTCAAATAATATATACTTTTCATAAACGTGTATTTTATGTACATTTTTTAATATTACATATCTATTTATACACACTATTTTGTATACAGGTACATAGGGTAAAAATAAGTCAGAATTTTTATGTAGTAAACCATTACCTTATAACTAACCTTTATAACCATTTTTGTATTAATGAATTAATTATTTTTCGATATAATTTTTTATGTATAATTTGATTTTTATCAAAGCTTGCTCGAATTATTTTTAATCGCTTGCTGAAGCTATTTGTAACCTTTTGTTTGCCTACAACACATCTTTGTATTAATATAAAAAATGAAAAAATTTGTTCTACAAAAATCAAAGAAATGTAATAGACATTAAAAGTGGATATCACTTTACAATCTTAATAATTTTTAATAACGAAGGAAAGCGTTACAAATTGATCATTAATAACAATTCGGGAAACTTATAGTCAACCCAACTGGTTAGTTATTTAATTAGTTTATTACACAACGTTTCGCCTCTATTCTTTTGGGTCCTTTTCGAGTGATACTGCAAATCAACAACATCAACGCAGTTATGAACAATGTAGGTTAGTAAATAAATAAGTAGGATTTAGTTAAATAGTTAAAAGTTCAGTAACGCACCTAAGTCAGTTATCGTCATTGAATAAGACAGAGTCCAGTTATAAAATATATGTATACGTGTGAGCACTGTAGTAGCTAGGCTCGAACTAATTTGTTTGTCATGTCTTAAGAACAATACAAGGTGATGCGAACCAAACAGTTTTGATTACACAGTTGTATATTACATTTAAGTTTTCGGTGTCTGTTTGTAAATTAAGAGTGTTATCGGTCTTCTTGATAAAGAACATATCGGCGATGTCTCTTTTCCTTCTAAGGCGCTCGCAATGTAAAATTTTTGGTTCCGACCAATTGAACTCGTGATCATGTGATGCACGGTGTTTGCTGATCACAGAGTGGCAGCTTTCGTCTTTTTTGTCATTTTTGTGTTCTTTGATTCTAGTCAGAAGGTGTCGTTTAGTTTTTACATAAACTAATTAAATAAGTAGCCAGTTGGGTTGACTATATGTTTGCCGTCTGGATCTTTAATCATTTACTGATTAAATTACTGATGACAATAAGCAAACTCTCCTTTCATTAATAACAATGTGAGATAAGAAGAAATATTTAATCTATTAATTTCTTCCATGTTCTCTTCTTTCGCCATTTTATGAGAAACTTAGAAAATATTTTATGACCATACTTATATATATATGTAGCAAATACTTCTAATCTAAGAATATCCCTATTGGAACCTGCAGCAACGTAAGTATCTTCTTGCTGGATCACTAAGAAAGAAATATCCTTTTTCACGGTTCTTGAGGTTTCTTTGTATCTTTTTATCTGAAATTTAAATAACATCATATAAAAATGTAACATACTAAACGCAACATAACAAAATACAATATATTTTTATGATATAAAAATTATATTATATTTTGGACACCCTTTATTTTGGTAAATGCTATTTTACGTTTTATTGTATCAGGTATCTTTAAATATGCAATTTTATAATTAATAATCTATATGATATATTCAAAAAATCTTAAACAATTTTACGAATCAAAAATTATTTTTCTTTAGAACCATATTACTTTGAAAGTAGTATTTGTTGTTAAAACAAAGCAGAAAATGTCTTTTTGTATATTCTAGCCCTTTATTCCTCAATTTTCATAAAGTCATAAAAATGATTAAAATGTTCTTACATTTAGTGCGTTTCATTAACAAAATTAGCAGCAAGAGTGCGATGTGTATTTTTTCGTGGCAACACCTTCAGCCAGAATCCCTCTTTAGCATTCATATTAAAGCCGTCCTTGGCGAGCGTGAGTGGTATTGCCGTCTTCTCGCAAGTTTCCAAATCGCAACGGGCCAATAGATAAAAAAGTAGAACCTTCGTCTCCAGCAATGCGAATCTATTACCTATGCACATTCTGGGACCAAGACCAAAAGGAAGGTAGGCTCCGCAGTTGAGGCTGTCCTTCTTCCGTTCACCACGAAACCGGTCGGGATCAAACTTCTCTGGCTCCTTAAAGTATTTTGGATCACGATGAAGTCCATAAACCGGTATCCATATGCCTTGTCCTTTTTTGATCGTAAAAGGTTTCATCCCTGGTAACATCGGCGGCAACTCAAAATCTTCTATGCATAATCTGTCCATTGCTACAGCAATCGGATACTTTCTGAGAGCTTCGTTGACCACTGCGTCTAAATATTCCATGCCATTAACCGCTTCGTAAGGGGCTTGTCCATTCGTATCTTCCAAGACCTGGTCAATCTCCTTTTGAAGTTTTTCTTGTACATCTCGGTTTACTGCAATTTCATGGACGGCGAAAGCCATTAATTTTGAAGTACCATCGAATCCAGCCAAAAAAAAGATGAGTGCCTGTGCTACCATATCGTCGATAGACAATTCTGCCTTGCCCTCTTTACCCCTAGTTTCCATCATCAATTGCAGCATATCAGGACGGACGATACCAATCTCGTCTCTGATTTTTATGGTGTTCGCTACGAGGTTTCGGAAGAAATCTGCTACTTGCTGACGAAATAATTTCAAGTTGATAATTCGTGCTAACCAAGGAAAGATCCTAAATGTTAATAACTTTATTAAGGAAATGAGATTAAAATTGGACGCTTCTTTGCCGTATACATAGAATTCATTCTCTGGATTTTTCATGCTATCAACGCTAATGCCAAAAGCGCAAGTAGCAATCACGTCGCTAGCATACTTCGTAAAGACGTCTCTCATTTCCTTTATCCTCTCCTCTGGTGGCAATTGCGCTAAGTTATTAGCGAAATTGTTACCACAGTCCGACATAAGCTTAAACATGCTTTTCATTTTGCTGGATGTAAAGGTCGGGCTCAATAAAGATCGTACTTGCCGCCATTTATGACCTTGAAGAGAGAAAAGATTTTTGCCAAATAGTGGATCTTGCTCTTCATTGATGAAAGCGCGATGATCGGGGAACTTTTCGAAATGTTTTAACGTGATGAATTTAATAAGCTCGGGATCGCGCAGCATTACAACTGGGACGTTCAGGTCAAACATGCCAACATATTTTGCATCAGGATTTAAGTTGTAAATTTCGCTTACAAATTCGGCTATCGACTTAAGGCGCAAAAACGCTGGTCCCATATTTCCCAATATAGGAAGAGGCGGCTTATGCGGTATGCCATGTTTTTTGAAGTAATTCAAATCCTTAAAAAGATAATAATACAGGCCTAAAGCACCTGCTATCAATGACAAAGCAATGACATATACCATAGTGATATATCACCGCTGTTCCATTAAATTAGTATACACCATATATTAATTTTGTGGAAACTGAAATCAATTTTTGCCTTTTTCGTAGTCAGTTTGTCTCTTGAAACATTTTATTTGTCGCACTGTTAGTGACGAAAATGCTGCCAAGTAACAACCGTACGCGTCGGAAGCTGACGCTCGACTGCCGCTGCACTGACGTAATCTCTCTGATATAACATCCGATTCGTCATCACTTGCTCTCCAACCTTGTACTTAACAAGTTATTTTATGTTGCAAGTGTTTATGCTGTCAGTGACTTGATAAATTTCTATAATATGAACAAAGTATTCGACAAGTTACTATTTATACTTCTTTATATTTTTCATTATACTTCCGTTATCTTTTATTTACATTTCATATGTAACGTAATTTATATCACTTAACAATCACTTTAGTACATAATTACAAAATTGCATTAGATTGTTTAATCCTGAAGAATACCTTCGATTACATCAAGTGCCAACAACTCCCTACGTTCTAGCAACAGAATAGATAAAAGATTCTTCTACGATCAAAAGTGCTGATTCATTATAACATTTATTGAGAAAATACATGCGGAAATGAAATGCGACTTTATTAAATCATTTTTTTATTTTTTACGCGTCATTAAGCATGCAAATTATACGTAATGCCAGTGGTTCACTCTAATCGCTTATGAATCTGTTTTTTAACTGCCTTGTAACTATTCCAAATAGCTTGTGAAAAATAATGAACATATGGAACAAATATACTGCCAATTACAGCTAACAAACTGGTAAATTTTAACCAGTTTATTCTATTGATTGATATGGATGTTGTGATGTTGATTCAAATAATATATATACTTTTCATAAATGTGTATTTTATGTACATTTTTTAATGTTACATATCTATTTATACACACTATTTTGTATACAGGTACATAGGGTAAAAATAAGTCAGAATTTTTATGTAGTAAACCATTACCTTATAACTAACCTTTATAACCATTTTTATATTAATGAATTAATTATTTTTCGATATAATTTTTTATGTATAATTAAATTTTGATTTTTTTCAAAGGTCGCTCGAATTATTTTTAATCGAATTGTTATTTACCACTCGTCGTGACTGTCCTCTCTTAACTTGGAATTATCAATTATACAAATCGCACTCTTTACTTGGCAAACACCAGTTCAAAGACAAAATTGCGTTGATAATAGATGACAGTCGTGTGAACAGTGGATCAGATTAAGTCTAATTATTTATAATCAGCTTCACTGAGGATGACCCAAAAACGGGTCGAAACGTTTGGATCTTTTAATAAAGTGTGTTTTTTCAAAAAACATCGATAATTTCGCACGGACATCTGCTGGAGGCTCGCATTGGCCATTTCTCCCTACCTACCTTTATTTTTAATCGCTTGCTGAAGCTATTTGTAACCTTTTGTTTGCCTACGACACATCTTTATATTAATATAAAAAATGAAAAAATTTGTTCTACAAAAAAAAGTCAAAGAAATGTAATAGACATTAAAAGTGGATATCACTTTACAATCTTAATAATTTTTAATAATGAAGTTAAGCGTTACAAATTGATCATTAATAACAATTGAGACACTTATAGTCAACCCAACTGGCTAGTTATTTAATTAGTTTATTACACAACGTTTCGACCCTATTCTTTTGGGTCCTTTTCGAGTGATACCGCAAATCAACAACATCAACGCAGTTATGAACAATGTAGGTTAGTAAATAAATAAGTAGGATTTAGTTAAATAGTTAAAAGTTCAGTAACGCACCTAAGTCAGTTATCGTCGTCGAATAAGACAGAGTCCAGTTATAAAATATATGTATACGTGTGAGCACTGTGGTAGCTAGGCTCGAACTAATTTGTTTGTCATGTCTTAAGAACAATACAAGGTGATGCGAACCAAACAGTTTTGATTACACCGTCGTATATTACATTTAAGTTTTCGGTGTCTGTAAATTAAGAGTGTTATCTGTCTTCTTGATAAAGAACATTTCGGCGATGTCTCTTTTCCTTCTAAGGCGCTCGCAATGTAAAATTTTTGGTTCCGACCAATTGAACTCGTGATCATGTGATTCACGGTGTTTGCTGACCACGGAGTGGCAGCTTTCGTCTTTTTTTGTCATTTTTGTGTTCTTTGTTTCTAGTCAGAAGGTGTCTCTCTCGTTTAGTTTTTACATAAACTAATTAAATAAGTAGCCAGTTGGGTTGACTATAAGTTTGCCGTCTGAATAATCTTTAATCATTACTGGTGACAATAAGCAAACTCACCTTTCATTAATAACAATGTGAGATAAGAAGAAGTATTTAATCTATTAATTTTTTCCATGTTCTCTTCTTTCGCCATTTTATGAGAAACTTAGAAAATATTTTATGACCATTATATGTATATATGTAGCAAATACTTCTAATCTAAGAATATCCCTATTGGAACCTGCAGCAACGTAAGTATCTTCTTGCTGGATCACTAAGAAAGAAATATCCTTTTTCACGGTTCTTGAGGTTTCTTTGTATCTTTTTATCTGAAATTTAAATAACATCATATAAAAATGTAACATACTAAACCCAACATAACAAAATACAATATATTTTTATGATATAAAAATTATATTATATTTTGGACACCCTTTATTTTGGTAAATGCTATTTTACATTTTATTATATCAGGTATCTTTAAATATGCAATTTTATAACTAATAATCTATATGATATATTCAAAAAATCTTAAACAATTTTACGAATCAAAAATTATTTTTCTTTAGAACAATATTACTTTGAAAGTAGTATTTGTTGTTAAAACAAAGCAGAAATTATGTTTTTGTATATTCTAGCCCTTTATTCCTCAATTTTCATAAAGTCATAAAAATGATTAAAATGTTCTTACATTTAGTGCGTTCCATTAACAAAATTAGCTTCAAAAGCGTGATGTATATTTTTACGTGGCAACACCTTCATCCAGAATCCATCTTTAGCATTCATATTAAAGCCGTCCTTGGCGAGCGTGAGTGGTATTGACGTCTTCTCGCAAGTTCTCAAATCGCAACGGGCCAATAGATAAAAAAGTAGAACCTTCGTCTCCAGCAATGCGAATCTATTACCTATGCACATTCTGGGACCAAGACCAAAAGGAAGGTAGGCTCCACAGTTGAGGCTGTCCTTCTTCCGTTCACCACGAAACCGGTCGGGATCAAACTTCTCTGGCTCCTCAAAGTAATTCGGATCATGATGAAGTCCATAAACCGGTACCCATACGCCTTGTCCTTTCTTTATTGTAAATGGTTTCATTCCTGGTAACGTCGGCGGCAACTCAAAATCTTCTAAGCATAATCTGTCCATTGCTACAGCAATCGGATACTTTCTGAGAGCTTCGTTGATCACTGCATCTAAATATTCCATGCCATTAATCGCTTCGTAAGGGACCTGTCCATTCGCATCTTCCAAGACCTGGTCAATCTCCTTTTGAAGTTTCTCTTGTATATCTCGGTTTACTGCAATTTCATGAGCGGCGAAAGCCATTAATTTTGAAGTACCGTCGAATCCAGCCAAAAAAAAGACGAATGCCTGTGCTACCATATCATCGATAGACAACTCTGCCTTGCCTTCTTTACCCCTATTTTCCATCATCAATTGCAGCATATCAGGACGGATGATACCATTCTCGTCTCTGGTTTTTATGGTGTTCGTTACGAGGTTTCGGAAAAAATCTGCTACCTTCTGACGAAATAACTTCAAGTTGAGAAGTTCTGCTAACCAAGGAAAGGTCCTAAATATGTATAACTTTATGAATGAAATTATGTTAATAGTGGCTGCTTCTTTGCCGTGTACATAGAAGTCATTCTTTGGGTTTTTCATAGTATCAACGTTAATACCAAAAGCGCACGTAGCAATCACGTCGCTAGCATACTTCGTAAAGGCATCTCTCATTTCCTTTGTCCTCTGCTCTGGTGGCAATTGCGCCAAGTGATTAGCGAAATTGATACCGCAATCCGTCATAAGCTTAAACATGCTTCTCATTTTGCTGGATGTGAAAGCTGGGGTCAGTAAAGATCGTACTTGCCGCCATTTGTCACCGGGAAGAGAGAAAAGATTTTTGCCAAATAGTGGATCTTGCTCTTCATTGATGAATGTGCGATGATCCCGGAACATTTCGAAGTTTTTTAACGTGATAGATTTAATAAGCTCGGGATCGCGGACCATTACAACTGGGATGTTCATATCAAACATGCCAACATATTTTGCCTCAGGATTTATGTTGTAAAGTTCGTTCACAAGTTCGCCTATCGACTGAAGACGCAAAAATGTTGGTCCCATATTTCCCAATAGAGGAAGAGGTGGTTTATGCGGTATGCCATGTTTTTTAAAGTAATTTAAATCCTTAAAAAAATAATAATACAGGCCTAATACACCTGCTATCACTGACAAAGCAATTACATATACCATAGTGATATATCACCACTGTTCCATTAAATCAGTATACACCATATATTAGTTTTGTGGAAACTCAAATCGAGTGTTGTCTTTTTCGTAGTCAGTTTGTCTCTTGAAATATTTTATTTATCACACTGTTAAGGACGAAAATGCTCCCAAGACAACCGTACGCATCGGAAGCTGACGCTCGACTGTCGCTGTACTGATGTTATCTTTGTGATATAAGATCCAATTCGTCATCACGTGCTCTCCAATCTTGCAGTTAACAAGCATTTTACGTCGTAGTATCTTCGTTGTCAGTAACATGATAAACATGATCATAAACATGATAAATTGTTATAAGATAAACAAATGATTCGAGTTACTGTTTATTTTCAATTCTATTTGCCGTTTCCTTGTTGTTACTTTGGTTATGTAAGGTGATTTATATCAATTAACTATCGTTTTAGTTCAAAATTACGAAATTGCATTAGATTGTTTATTCCTGAGGAATGCCTTCGATTATATCAAGTGCCAAGTTGCCCCTATTTTCTGGCAACAGATTAGATAAAAGATTCTGCTACGATCAAAATTGCTGATTCGTTATAACGTTTACTGAGAAATTAAATGCAGATATAAATTGCAACTTTTAAATAACTTTTTTATTTTACACGTTAATACGCGTTATAAGCACGCAAGCTATACGTAATGCCAGTGATCCACTCTAATCGTTTATAACTCTATTTTTTAATACGGGATACTTATATTACAGAATTTGTTTAATGTGTTGTAACTATTCCAATTAATTTGTGAAAAATATCGAACATATGGAACATATATACTGTCTATTACAGTTAACAAATAATATATACTTTTCATAAGTGTGTATTTTATGTACATTTTTAATGTTACATATCTATTTATACACACTATTTTGTCTACGGGTACATAGGGTAAGAATAAGTCAGAATTGCGATGTAATAAAATATTACCTTATAACTGACCATTATAAGCATTTTTTATATTTATTAACTATTTTTCGATATAACTTTTTATGTATTAGTAGATTTTTATTTTTATCATAGCTTGCTCGAACTATTTTCTACCGCTTGATGAAGTTATATGTAACCTTTGGTTTGTCCATAACATATCTTCATGTTAATATAAAAGATGAAATATTTGTTATACAATAGTCAGAGAAATGTAATAGATATTAAAAGTGGATATTACTTTTCAATCTTAATAATTGTTTATAACGAAGGAAAGCGTTACAAATTGATCGTTAATAACAACGTGAGATATGAAGTAATATTTAATTCATTAATTTCTTTCATGTTGTCTTCTTTCGCCATTTTATGAGAAACTCATAAAATATTTTATGACCATGCTTGTATATATAATATATATGTAGCAAATACTTCTAATCTAAGAATATCCCTAGTGGAACTTACAGCAACATAAATATCTTCTTGCTGGATCACTAAGAAGGAAATATCCTGTTTCGCGTTTATTTAGGTTCCTTTGTTTCTTTCCATCTAAAATTTAAATAACATGATATAAACATGTAACAAACACTAAATCTAATATAATAAAATACAATATATTTTTATAGCATAAAAATTATATTATATTTTGGACACCCTTAATTTTTGTAAATGCTATTTCACGTTTTACTATATCAGATCTTTAAATATCTGATTTTTTAATTAATTAATAATCCAATATATGATATATTTCAAAAGAAACTTAAACAATTTTGCGAATCTAAATTCAATATTATCTTGAAACTATTATTTGTTGTTGAAACAAAGCAGAGATTATCTTTTTATATATAGTCTAGTCTTTTATTCCTAACTTTTCAAAAAGTCATAAAAATTATTGAAAGTTTCTTACGTTTAGTGCGTTTCATTAACAAAATTAGCAGCAAGAGTGCGATGTGTATTTTTTCGTGGCAACACCTTCAGCCAGAAACCATCTTTGACACTCATATTAAAGCCGTCCTTGGCGAGCGTGAGTGGTATTGACGTCTTCTCGCAAGTTTCCAAATCGCAACGGGCCAATAGATAAAAAAGCACAACCTTCGTCTCCAGCAATGCGAATCTATTACCTATGCACATTCTAGGACCAAGACCAAAAGGAAGATAGGCTCCGCAGTTGAGGCTGTCCTTCTTCCGTTCACCAAGAAAACGGTCGGGATCAAACTTCTCTGGCTCCTCAAAGTATTTTGGATCATGTTGAAGTCCATAAACCGGTATCCATATGCCTTGTCCATTTTTGATCGTATAAGGTTTCATCCCTGGTAACATCGGCGGCAACTCAAAATCTTCTATACATAATCTGTCCATTGCTACAGCAATCGGATACTTTCTGAGAGCTTCGTTGATCACTGCGTCTAAATATTCCATGCCGTTAATCGCTTCGTAAGGGGCTTGTCCATTCGTATCTTCCAAGACCTGGTCAATCTCCTTTTGAAGTTTTTCTTGTACATCTCGGTTTACTGCAATTTCATGGGCGGCGAAAGCCATTAATTTTGAAGTACCATCGAATCCAGCAAAAAAAAAGACGAGTGCCTGTGCTACCATATCGTCGATAGACAATTCTGCCTTGCCCTCTTTACCCCTAGTTTCCATCATCAATTGCAGCATATCAGGACGAACGATACCATTCTCGTCTCTGATTTTTATGGTGTTCGCTACGAGGTTTCGGAAGAAATCTGCTACTTGCTGACGAAATAATTTCAAGTTGATAATTCGTGCTAACCAAGGAAAGGCCCTGAATATTAATAACTTTATTATGGAAATGAGATTAAAATTGGTCACTTCTTTACCATATACATAGAATTCATTCTCTGGATTTTTCATGCTATCAACGCTAAAGCCAAAAGCGCAAGTAGCAATCACGTCGCTAGCATACTTTGTAAAGACGTCTCTCATTTCCTTTGTCCTCTCCTCTGGTGGCAATTGCGCTAAGTGATTAGCGAAATTGTTACCACAATCCGACATAAGCTTAAACATGCTTTTCATTTTGCTGGATGTAAAGGTTGGGCTCAATAACGATCGTACTTGCCGCCATTTATCACCTTTAAGAGACATAAGATTTTTGCCAAATAGTGGATCTTGCTCTTCATTGATGAAAGCGCGATGATCGGTGAATTTTTCGAAATGTTTTAACGTGATGAGTTTAATAAGCTCGGGATCGCGCACCATTACAACTGGGACGTTCAGGTCAAACATGCCAACATATTTTGCATCAAGATTTAAGTTGTAAATCTCGTTTACAAATTCGGCTATTGATTTACGGCACAAAAATGCTGGTCCCATATTTCCCAATATAGGAAGAGGCGGCTTATGCGGTATGCCATGTTTTTTGAAGTAATTCAAATCCTTAAAAAGGTAATAATACAGGCCTAAAGCACCTGCTATCAACGACAAAGCAATTACATATACCATAGTGATATATCACCGCTGTCCCATTAAATTAGTATCCACCATATATTAATTTTGTGGAAACTGAAATCAATTTTTGCCTTTTTCGTAGTCAGTTTGTCTTTTGAAACATTTTATTTGTCGCACTGTTAATGACGAAAATGCTGCCAAGTAACAACCGTACGCGTCGGAAGCTGACGCTCGACTGACGCTCGACTGACGCTCAACTGCCGCTGCACTGACGTAATCTTTCTGATATAACATCCGATTCGTCATCACTTGCTCTCCAACCTTAACAAGCTATTTTACGTTGCAAGTGTTTATGCTGTCAGTGACATGATAAATTTCTATAATATGAACAAAGGATTCGACAAGTTACTATTTATTTTCAATTCTATTTGCCGGTTCCTTTTAGTTACTGTTGTCATGTAACGTGATTTATATCAATTAACAATCATTTTAGTTCCAAATTGCGAAATTGCGTTAGATCGTTTATTCCTGAGGAAGCCTTCGACTATATTTAAGTTCCAACTAGTCGCTAATTTCTAGCAGCCGAATAGATGAAAGATTCTGCTATAATCAAAATTGCCCACTCGTTATAACATTTGTGGAGAAAATAAGTGCTGAAATAAATTGTAATTTGTAATTCACCTTTTTATTTTATTATACAGTATCTATACATAGCGAGAGAAGACAATATTAACAAAGTTGTAAAAAGTAATAGCATTGAGATAAATACTCGCATTTACATTAATACGCGTCATTAGGCACGCGAGCAACACTATACGTAATGCCATCGATTCACTCTAATCGCTTATAACAATATTCTTTGTTTACTAACAATACAGAATTTTTTTTTTAAAAACGCCTTGTAACCATTCCACATAATTTATGAATAATAATGAAAATATGGAAAATACGTACTGTTCAGTATTGCATTTAATAAACAGCGAGCGGCGTCGCGATGCGTGAGAAATCTCGAAGAGGCACGTCGCACGACTATATTTAGCTCCATTCATAACTGATTGAATTATGATACATTCATCGAAAAGGAAACCGAATCCTTTCAACTATAAGGGCATCAACTGGAAAACGAGCTTTTTACTAGTGTGGAAAAAATTTATCGAAACTTATCGTTGCCCTAGGACCAACGGCATATCGTCACTTAAAGTGAACTTATTAGTCACAACACTGCGACGCTAGCGAAGCCCGATACCGTTCGAGGAGTCTCGCATTGAACGCATTAAAATTCAAATATGAATTTAAAAAACAATGTTGGCAGTTAAGATAAAACGAAGACTACAGGCAATGTGAGCCGTCATCTTTCCGTCAGGCTCACATTGCCTGTATTCTTCGTTTTATCTTAACTGCCAACGTTGTTTTTTTAATTTACACTTGTTTAATTAGAGCCTTATTTCTATTATTAATTTGCATTAAAATTCGGTATTTTAAACAAGCTGTCAGGAGCTCACCTCCTCGCACTGTAGAATCCTCAGAAGCTCTCTCCTACTTTATCTATCGCAACTTGCATCTCCGTATACGATTACGCCTGCTTTGTATTGCCATATAAGGCGCAATTCATCGACGCATCTTCGTGACCGTGGTGGGGCGATGATTATTTGATTGATATTGTGACGTCCGCTCGGCGCGATGTTCCGCTGTCGGCACAACACCCCGCGCACTCGCGTTCGTGTCGGTACGTCGCGTCGCCTTTCTTACTCGCGCACCGCGCCACGGGTAAATGAGAGAGAGAGGATTAAAAGGAACAAGGAATCTTTATTGACAGTTAATCACACGTCTGCTTTCTCGAAAACTCGGGACAATTCTAATTAATCAATCATAAACATCATCACATCGGTCCTTAGCGACCGGCGTCTCCATGCGCCGCAACTTCAGCCCACAGCTGGCGCGTATCCATCGGGTGACCGACGCAACACCTCGCGGGCGTAACAATATTAATCTTAGGAGCTTGCCTATATAAAACTCGTCCGATGCGGCGGAATTCAGATCTCGTAACTCAGTAAAGCCGATTCCGTGTGACTACCGTGCCGGTTCCCCGCTGAATTCCGTGCTGTTACCGTCGAGCTTTTACGGATCTCCGCGAACGCCGGGAGTTGCTATCCCACCGCTTCATGTATTCCGTCGCGGAACGTCGCCTGTTCCGTAAATCGCAAATTCTTTTACCACGGTTCCTACTTGCATTATGTTTCGTTATCTATTTAAGCAATAAATGAAGACTTTGTCGAACCTCGCGAAATTCACTGCACCCTCGCGTACATATACTGTCTATTATAGCTAACAAACTGGTAAATTTTAACTAGTTTAATTCTACACTGATAAAAATCAATGCGAATTTACAAAGAAAGGTTACTTATTTCTTGGTAAATTTGTTTGAATTTTCATGAGTTTTTACATAAAATTTGCATTTTTTTCTTTGGTTTCATTAAAAATATAAGAATATTATGAAAAATTAATTATACCTGGTATTTGTAGTCACATAATTTGTAAATTAGCTTTCAGTTCATCCATAACATTTCATATATGTGCTTAACTTTCACTTCTATACAGTTTTACAGTCCGACATGGAATTTTACTCTTTTGTTAGTGATGTCGCAGTATTTCAGTAAAGTGGAGTGTGCGCAATAGAGAATTTCATCATCCTAGTATGCTGTGCGCGCCGTAAATTTACTATCTTAAACGGAATGTAACAATAAATCATGTAATTTTAACTTCAGACAGTAAACCGAAAAAATATTTAACGGAAACGTAATTTCATTTGAATGGTAATTTTAACGTTTTGAAGTAAAATTACAAATCACTTCGTATTTTAACAGCGTAATTCGAAGGTTGAAAATGACCACCGATTTTCACAGTTAAATGAGGTTCAAATTTTTATCAGTGTAAGATATTCATTGATATTGATGTTGATTCAAACCTATATATTTTTCATAAAAGTGTATTTTATGTACATTTTTCAATGTTATATATACATGTAATATATTTATTTATACACAGTATTTTGTATGTAGATTCATAAGGGCCTGAGCAGAATGGCTGTCTTGTACTCTTAAGACAATGCTTTATGTTTTAAATCTTTCTCTTGAAGTAACGCACAATAAGAATACAAGACAATCATTCTGCTCAGGCCCCAAGTTAAGAACAACTCAGAATTGTAATGTGACAAAATATTGTCTTATAGCTAGTCTTTATAACTTTTTTATACCAATTAATTATTTTTCAATATAATATTGTTATGTATAATATAATTAGATTTTGATCTTTATCATAGCTTGCTTAAACTCTTTTCAACCGCTTGCTTAAGTTTTTTGTAGCTTTTTGCGTATAACACATCTTTGTATTAATATAAAAGATGAAAAATCTTGTTATACGAAAGTCAAAGAAACGTAGTAGAAAAATAAAAGTGGTGGTTATTACTTAACTATCATAATAATTGTATATAATGAAGAAAAAGCTTTACGAGAGAGAGATTGATCAATAATAATAACGTGAGAAAAGACGTAGATAATCCATTAATCTCTTTCGCCATTTTATAAGAATACAATAAAGTATTTTGACCATGCCTATATATATGTAAAAAATATTTTTAACGCAAGAATATCGTTATTTGAACTTGCAGCAACGTAAGCATCTCCTTGCTGGATCATTATTAGGAAAGAAATATCCTGTTGCACGTTTATTTAGGTTCCTTTGTTTCTGTTTATCTGAAATTTAAATATCATATAAAAATGTAATATATTAAAAAACACAATAAAATATAATATATTTCTAACAGTATAAAATATATATTATATTTTAGACATCCCTAATTTTCGTAAATGCTACTTCATTATTTATTATACCAGAAACCTTTACAAATCAAATTTTTTAATTAATTAATAAACTTTATAATATAATTTTAAAAATATTTTTAAAACTTAAATAATTTTACGAATCGAAAATGATTTTTCTTTAGATCAATATTATCTTGAAACTATAATATCATTTGCTGTTAAAACAAAGCCGAAATTATCGTCTTATATAATGCAGTTTCCTTTATTTCTCAATTTTCACAAAGTCATAAAAACGATCCAAATTTAGTGCGTTCTTACATTTAGTGCGTTCCATTAACATAATTAGCTGCGAGAGTGCGATGTATGTTTTTTCGCGGCGACACCTTCAGCCAGAAACCATCTTTGGCATTCACATTAAAGCCGTCCCTTGCGAGCTTGAGTGGTATCGACGTCTTCTCGCAAGTTTTCAAATCGCAACGGGCCATTAGATGAAAAAGCAGAACCTTCGTCTCCAGCAACGCGAACCTATTGCCTATGCACATTCTGGGACCAACACCAAAAGGAAGGTAGGCTCCGCAGTTGAGGCTGTCCTTCTTCCGTTCACCACGAAACCGGTCGGGATCAAACTTCTCTGGGTCCTTAAAGTATTTTGGATCATGTTGAAGTCCATAAACCGGTACCCATATACCCTGTCCTTTCTTGATTGTATATGGTTTCGTCCCTGGTAACGTTGACGGCAACTCAAAATCTTCTACGCATATTCTGTCCAACATTACGGCAATCGGATACATTCTGAGAGCTTCGTTGACCACCGCATCTAAATATTCCATGCCATTAACCGCTTCGTAAGGGGCTTGTCCATTCGTATCCTCCAAGACCTGGTCAATCTCCTTTTGAAGTTTTTCGTGTAAATCTTGGTTCGACGCAAGCTCATGAGCGGCAAAAGACATTAGTTTTGAAGCACCATCGAATCCAGCCAGAAAAAAGACGAACGCCTGCGCCACCATATCGTCGATAGACAATTCTATCTTGCCCTCTTTACCCCTACTTTCCATCATCAATTGCAGCATATCAGGACGGACGATACCATTCTCGTCTCTGATTTTTATGGTGGTCGCTACGAGGTTTCGAAAGAAATGTGCTATTTGCTGACGAATTAATTTCAAGTTGATAAATCGCGCTAACCAAGGAATGGACCGAAATATGTATAACTTTATGAAGGAAATAACGTTAAAACTGGACGCTTCTTTGCCGTACACGTAGAAGTCGTTCTTTGGATTTTTCATGGTATCAATGCTAATGCCAAAAGCGCAAGTAGCAATCACGTCGCTGGTATACTTCGTAAAGACGTCTCTCATCTCCTTTGTCCTCTGCTCTGGTGGCAATTGCGCTAAGCTATTAACGAAATCGACGCCACAATCCGACATGAGCTTAAACATGCTCTTCATTTTACTGGATGTAAAGGCTGGGCTCAATAAGGATCGTACTTGCCGCCATTTATCGCCGTGAAGGGAGAAAAGATTCTTGCCAAATAATGGATCCAGTTCCTCGTCCACGAAAAAGCGATGATCCGGGAACTTGTCGAAATGTTTTAACGTGATAGATTTAATAAGCTCGGGATCGCGAACAAGTATAACTGGGACGTTCATATCGAATATGCCAGCGTATTTTGCTTCAGGATTTAGATTATAAATTTCCGTCGTAAGTTCGGCTATCGATTGTAGACGCACAAACATTGGTCCCATATTTCCCAATATAGGAACAGGTGGTTTATGCGGTATGCCATGTTTTTTAAAGTAATTCAAATCCTTAAAAAAATAATAATACAGGCCTAAAGCACCTGCTATCACCGACAAAGCAATTACATACACCATAGTGATATATCACCACTGTTCCATTAAATCGGTATACGCCGTATGTTAGTTTTGTGGAAACTGAAATCAATTGTGGCACTTTTTCGTAGCCAGTTTGTCTCTTGAATTATCTTGTTTGTCGCGCTATCAATAAGAAAGATGCTTCGAAAACACAACGTTACGCGTCGGAAGCTGGCGATCAACTGCCTGCTGCCTTGATTCAATCTTTCTAATATAGTGTCCGATTCGTCATTGCTTGCCCTCCAATGCCCTCCAATCTTGAAGTTAACAAGTATTTTACGTCGTGTTAGTCAAGTGCTTTCGTTGTTAGTGATAAGTCTTTATTGAGTGACGTGATAAATGATCTGTACTCCCACTGCTGCTAACCGGAGGGAATATGCGTTTCATTATAATTAACGTGAATATTTAACATTTTTTAATATATTTGTCATGTTACCTGTTACTTTCTCTTGATTTGCAACGTGATTATATCAATTAACAGCGATTTTAGTAGAAAATTATGAAATTGCATTATGTAGCTGTTATTGACAAATTGACTTTGATTACGTCTAATTCCAGCTAGTCAATAATTTCTAGCAACAGAATAGATAACAGATTTTGGTGTAATCAAAACTGCTTACTCGTCGCTGTAACGATTCGCAGAACCAGCGGAATATAGATCGCAAGTTTCCACGTACTAATCTAAATTTAATTATAATTATTTATATGTATATATGTAATACATGTGTTGTAATAATTGTAACATAACGTCTATATTGCAATGTAACATAAAACATATGTAACAGATGTGATTTGGCTATATTCATAGATTCTTATTCTTCGAATACTACTTCAACTGCGCCCTTGTACCTGCGTTACTGCGGGGTCTGGCACCGACTCGACTGGTTTGCTTCGATAATCGTAGGGTGCTGGTCCTTTCTCGGCACGATGCTCAACCAGAAACCGCCTTCCAGCCGCATCGAGAATCCGCCTTTCTGTAACTTTGCAGATGTCGAGGTCTTCGCGCACGGCTTTAACTGGCAACGAGCCAGAAGATGAAACAACAATGCCCTCGTCTCCAGTAACGCAAATCTGTTGCCGATGCACATCCTCGGGCCTACTCCAAATGGATAATAAGCGTTCAAATTGCATTGATCTCCTGCATCGAGGAATCTCTCGGGCTTGAATTTATCCGGCTCCGGGAAGTACTTAGGGTCGTGTTGGAGCGGATAAAACGGGATGTAGAGTAACATTCCTTCCTTCACGAGATACGGCTTTGCACCCGGCAGTGCAGGCGGCAATTCGAAATCTTTCACGCATAATCTGTCCGTCATTGCCTGCGGCGGATACTTCCTGAGAGCCTCGCTGATAACCGCATTTAAATACTTCATTCCGTTGATCGCCTCATAAGATGGCTGGCCGTTCGTCACTTCCAAAACCTTGTCGATCTCGTTTCGCAGTTTCTCTTGAACGTCCGGATTGGTGGCAATTTCATGTGCCGCGAAACTCATCAGTGTCGAGCTGGTCTCGAAGCCGGCGAGGAAGAAAATGAATGCCTGCGACGTCATGTTCATAATTGTCAATTCTCTTCCGGGCTCTCTTTTACTTTTGCTCTCTATCAGCAGCTGGATTAGGTCTGGGCGGGTAATACCTTTCTCTTCTCTGATCCTCATAGTGTCGGCTACCAGATTCACAAAGAATTTAGTCGTACGATCGTCAATTATCTTGAGATTGAAGAGACGTATGAGCGACGGTGAGTGCTGGTACAGCAAAATTTTTATAAGGGGAATTAATCCGAAGTTTGTCGCGTTTTTGCCAAAATTTAAAAATTCGTTCTCCGGGTCCCTCATCGAATCCACGTTTATACCAAAGGCGCATGTGGCGATTACGTCATTAGCGTATCTCGTAAATATGTCTTTCATTTCCATAACGCGCTTATCCGCTGGCACGCTCGTTACGTATTCCGAAAAATTCACAGCGCACTCGGATATCAATGGGAACATCGCTTTCATTTTGCTGGCTGTGAAAGCGGGACTTAGGAGCACCCTAATGTCGCGCCACTTGTCGCCGCGCAGGGCAAACAGATTTGTCCCGAAGAGCGGATCCTGCGTCTCGTTGCCGAAGAAAAGGTGGTCTTGGAACGCGTCGAAATTTTTTATAGTGACAGACTTGATTAGTTCGAGATCGCGGATCATCACGATCGATTTGTTGAAGTTGAAAGTACCGACGTACTTGGCGTCAGGATGCACGTTGTACACTTCACATAGGTGATGGGCGAAGCTTTTTGTACGCACGAAAATTACCCAGATCCTTCTCAACAAGGAATAATCGTGTGCGTATGGAATTCCGCGTTGCTGAAACTCGTTCGTACCTTTGCGGGACAAGTAATAATAAACGGCGAGTATACCGGCTAATATTGATAAGACTATCGTCCACTCCATGCTAGACGTTTAATCGGAATACCCGATTACTCCTTTTGTTCGGAGATAAAGTTAAACACCAGCGCGGTGAAAGTTTGTGTCAATATCACTGTTTGCAGTTGTGTGAGGTACCCTCAGGTTATAATTCGATGCAATATGTTGAACGTGATTGTTTTATCAAGTCAAAGCGATCTGCTCGCTTGGAATTCTCGCACACGACTGATCGTACCGAGGTAGAGTTGTTTGTTAAATGGCTCGCTGCAGCTTCATGACATCATTTAAGAGAATTACATAAGAGAAGGAGAGAGGGGGGAAAAAGAAAGAGAGGGAGAGAGAGAGAGCTATTTTTAATTCGTATTCTCAATAAATAATATGTTGATAAATTAAAATTTATGTTGATAACTTTAAATTTATTTGCATTACATTACACTATTTACATTACATTACATTAAAATGTTGATAACTTAAAAGTCGATATTAATAAGTAAATGAAACCAATATTAATCGGTAGCGTTCAACTAATGCGCAACTAATTTTCTATAATGCCTGTGACCTTTGGTGTCTTTCATTAGAACGAGACAAATTTGCATGGTATTGAATTGCACTGTGTTGCATTACATAACAAATGAGTCACGTCAAATATTCGCCGCGCGAATACCGTATAGATGTCAAATTGAGCTCGCCGTTTCATTGATACCCAGCGTTCGACCGATCGAGCATCGCTAACGCCTCGTATCTAATCCAGATGGCGTAAATTCTTCAATATGTGAAAAAGAGATGCGTCATTTTTTCGCGGTAATCTATTCGGCCTTTAATATTGATGGTACAAATTGGAAGAGTCGTTCCACTCGCGTCTGAGAATTAATTCGATGAACGTTCCACACACACATTGTAAAACAATATGTCTGTATAACTCGATTACATGAATTTACCTTCATACGGTATATAGAGACACATGTAACGATACATAATCATGCCTCTGATGCGAACTGACTTACATTTGTACATATACGTGCAAATTCACACACCAAATTGCATTATTCACGAGTTTGCTTTGACTTGTAATTACACTATCAACAATTGAACGTAAAATAAATGTTTTACAACTAGAAATTGTAAATAAGGCTCCTGTATAAGCAGCTTAAATTTCGGAGAACAATGTTGGTCGTTGAGATGTTAAAAGAGATTTAACGTCTCGACGACCAGCATTGTTTTTCCGAAATTTAAGTTAAGGCCGAGAAGTCAACATTGAAATAAAAAGCATATAATCGCACCATGGACATTTGTTGCACACTTTTTGCAAGATATAATGAAACGTAACGGATAAGAAATTTGCCTACAATTAAACTCACCTTTCCATAAAATAATCTATATATAAAGAAAAGAGCAGTTTCTCATTAGTGAAAAATTTTTATCTATTCTTCTATTAATTCTTGTAATCTTCCGAAATATCTCAGAAAGGTGAAGGTATATCTTTTTTGAAATCCGACTTACATCCCAGTGGGAAACAAGACTTTGACCGAAAGTTTGGTCTATCTAGCACGAGAGTAAACGCAGAAGTAAGAAAGAGTAAGAGAAATGAAAAGGGGACGGGAGAATGCGCAGGAAGGGGATGGAGAGAGAAAGAAAAGGAGAGGGTTGGCGGAACAAAATTCATTTGGCCAAATTAAACAGAGTTTAGCAATTTGCGCTTAATCCATTTGTCGGGGATCCGCCGTCCGTCAGTCCGTCCGTCTGTCTTTACTTCAACCCTCCCTCTCTCTCTCTTTCTCTCTCTCTCTCTCTCTCTTTCTTTCTCTCTCGCCTTCTCCCCTATCTTTCTCGCGTCCCCTATCCTGTACCCTTCTAGCTGTTCCTATGTACCTTACTGGTACCTCGATCTCTTCGCCTTTTGAAGCCGCACGTAGATTTTATTTCAATTTCTCTTTAACAGAGAGAGAGAGAGAGAGAGAGAGAGAGAGAGAGAGAGAGAGAGAGAGAGAGAGTGAAACGAATAAATTTTACAAACTTTTTCTTGCGACGATATCATTTTATTGAGTTATAACATAATATCAGACATTAATATCAAGATCGTATACGTATTATATTAATTAGTATGTCATACGAGACATCGCGATAAAAAAGCAATGAGCTAAAACATGTTACGCTTTGTTCGTTTATGTATGCGAGACACGACGTTATGTGTGTGTGTTTTTTTTATTTTATTCGCTTGGTATGCAAGCCATTTTTCCGCGTATGTGTTGAGCACATCTTATAAAGAGAAAAATATCAAACTTATTTCGTTAAAGTGAATATCATGAATAATTTTCAATATAGATAATAAAATTTTTTTTTCTACTACGAAGCTTTAACTACTAATACGTATCGCTACGGAAAAGAAAATTTAGTTACTTGTGCAGAATGTCGAGAAAAATGATGTATCAATTGTATGTACGTCGTGTTCAAATCTTACAATTAGTTTTACCGATTTATATTATTGCTGCATCCTGTGTCTCATTTGTGATTATTCTCTCTCTTCCTCTCCTCTAACTATTACGCCTTAACATTACGCCATTCTCTACCGTCTTGCACGTTACAGTGCGAACGCTCTTTCGCACTTGGATCTTGTTATCACGGAATTGTTTCCGTTCTCCCTCCGAGCTCCGCGCAGCCGTCGAGCTTTCTCCTTTTTGTACTAGTAAGAACAGCGAATCTTACCTAAGTGTATTGGCAGTTGTGTCCACGTTTTATTTCCATTCAATCGGGCGAGCACCTTTAAGATCACTTTCCCGTAAAGTGCTCGGCATTAGATGTTCTTGATTCCTGGTCTTGTGGCAACCATCCATGGATCCGTTTAACGCCGGTGTCCGGCGTTCATTTACCAATCGGTAGCATTGGACCACTGATGTTTTCAACATTCTTACACCTGGCATTTCCCTTGCGATTACACAATTGATTTCTTCGTCGATCTTTGTCGAATATACATTTTTTTCAAGGGCCTGAACTAACATTTTTCAAATGTTATGAATGGAAAAATTCTACAAACGAAAATTATAAACTCTGTTAGCTATAATGAGGTAGGTTTGGAAGAATGTCTGTGTATCACCAAAGAGAAAAACAAATCAAATGGACGAATCGCGCTCTGAAATACCGTTACACCCTACTAATTTCTAGGTTCCTTGAAAATGAACTCCTTCCCTCCTTTAGATAGGCAAAGATTAATATAGCTTACAAACCAAATACAATAATCGTATTTGCCTTTATATGCGCGGATGGTAGACATTCATAGAGGTTAAGCGTTTCACCGTTTCACACTCAAATCACTAAACACCGTTTCTCTTTTCATCGTGTCGACTGTTCCCGCTGCTAGTTCTGCTTTTCGGTCAGAGGTGAAACACTGCGTTTACATGCAACTTGGACATGTACAACGTGTGCACGGACAGCGCGATGTAGCGAGGGTGCGAAACATGTATAGGAATTTCTATCAAGCGCCGGCGTATTTATCGGATAGCAATTCCCAAATTAAATGCCTGCTCGCATGCGGATATCGCGCAGATAATGCGCCTCGTTTTTAAGACCAACACTTTTAATATCCCCATTAAATTGTTATCCCCACACCCTCAGAATGAATTTCTGTCACCGAGACAAAAAATATTCTTGACGTATTCCTCACAACCTCATTTAGTATAAAAATAAGACAATGTCAAAATAATTCTTATTCTCCACTGTCGAATTAAAAAAGATTGGCTTACTATATCGAGACAAGAGTAACTTATATAAATGTAAGTTTATATATTCTTGCGTTTAGAATAAATTTTCCCTCCATCTTACAACGCACGAGGTTGACACCACCACGTTCGACAAATGGACGACGCATACTATCATTTTATTCTAGATCTTAGAATTTTTCATTTAAGATTAAAATATTCCTTTCTCCATAATAAATATGATTGGCGCTATAGCGATCCTATTTTATGGTACATTCAAGTGTAATAGCATTGGATCCGGAAACCTTTTTGTGGGTGCCAGTAGTTTATTGCGATTAAATTCGAAGTACCTTCTGTGCAAATGGATCGTATTAATAAACCGCAGGAATAAGGTAACAATGCCACGCCGTTTAATTTATTGCACTTCCCATCACGTCATAAGATTCTATTTAACGATTTCGATACTAATACCTTTTTTTTCCGCCGGTACGTATAAATCTCAATGATCCGCGCGTAAAACTAATGGAATATGGGTGTATCGGTACAAAGTCGTATGGAATGAACTCGAAAGTCGTCGCGCGTATACGGCGTATACTCACACATAACGAGAATTTAAGTATCCGTGAGGAGATGGATACTAAAACACGGATATATACGCGCGCGACTAAAATAGACGAAGTGAATATTATTGCTGACTTTCGGGCTCCTCGTAATACTCGGTTCACGAGCTTAAAATCTGACACGTACATATGCCGCGCCGCGCCGCGTATATCCGGCTATGTTTTCCGCGCGCGATTTATTTCACCGAGTTATTTAATCGCGCATTCATTGCGCATCAATGTCCCATCTCTTTCGTGGGCCGCGTACGCTCGCTTAAATCCTTATTTCTAACATCCGTAATTCTCCATAATTCCTAGATTATGATATTTTTTACGTTTTGCAAAACGCATGCCCCGGCCCGAGTGAAATAAAACGAGTATTTATATAGGTCGCAAAACGGATTACAAACATAACAGATTGATGTTACAATTTTTTTATGGCGAATGTGGTTGTTTGCGTCGCTGTCGCGACGTCGTATTTTTCGTTCTCGCGGGAATCAAATGACTCGACCGAGAAGATAATTTTGAGTCCTTCATCCTCTCCCGACTCGAATTATCTTTACCTTATCCAGAATAGATCCTTGATTACCCCCCAAGCTCCTTTCATGAATTCGTACAATTGATCAGCTGTCCCGTAATTTTAACTTGTTATGTCTTAGAAATGTGACATGTTTTACTGATGCTCGTCTCATTAATTTTATGTCGATATTTTTCGCGAGAGCCAGAAATCTTGAGCCGTACAGCAATTGTATGTAGCAAAATGCATGTGTGTGGAATCATTAATGTCGACTTATCAGCATCAAGTGTCATCGATTGTCAGTCTGTGTGCCAGGAAGCAATAATCGACTTGGGCCTTGAAGAAAGAAGACGACGAACACTTCTTC